ATAAGCGAGACCGATTTGCGTTGATTGTGCAGGGTCGTTTTATGAAAGAGTGAGTTGAATTGCACACTTTTAGACTATTGCTCATTTACATCCCTTTCCAAAGCCTTCCAAAAAACACGTTTTCTTGACATAGGGAATGGTACCTGTGCGGTGAAACGGTTTTCCATCGGCCAGAAATATTACCTTTTTTGACGCTTGAGACCCAAACTGAAGTGGCCGAAATCTAAGGAGAAATCAAGTTTTGGGGTAGGTTATGTCAACCTGATTGGCTTGAAACTCCTCTCCCCATAAGAACCCTCATTCCAGATACTGTCCCTGGCCCAGGCCTAGTTTTGGATCGTTTCTTGTCCTTGTTTGGACTGGCCTGCGACTATGCGCCTCAGATTATCAGTCCTCGAACTGAGGACAGGTCTTCGCTCCGGCTGAGTGATGTGCGTAGGTATGCAGTCTTGACGACACCTGTCCTGCATCCGTCCGGTGTCGCTGGATGGCCTGCGGAATCGCGTCCGCTAGCCGGCACACAACAACGGCCACGACGTCAGAGTGCTGCTCGATGTCATTTTGGTATCAGACCCTCGGAGGTGCATGGGGAACAGTCACCTCGCCAGGCTCCAGGTCACCTCTGGAGCCGCCGATCCGTTGGAAGCGTGTCGCCCCAGACGCAACGCGTCCTAGATCCCACATTTGACGTCATTTGTGTAGTTAACTTATAATAGAACACAGAAATCAAGCTCCTCTAACGGACGTGTTGACATTCTGACCAAAGGTATGCGTTGGGCGTGTGACTCCTCTCGTGGCACTGGCCTCAGTCTAGTTCGTCCACTCCCACGCATCAAGGCTAGCCTGTTAGAGCACAGCCGTTCCCCATAACATTAGCCCTATGACGTGGTTCCGAAAGACACGACTTTAAGATCGACTTTGGCACCTTACCCTTAAAGAGCCTCCGCCGCCACTGCCATGCGTATGTTAATGCACGGTATCGACTACCGTTCCACCTTCCCCAGCCGGATTAACTTTTTCTGTCGTACCTGCAAGAGTCACGCACGCAGTCAAGAGCCGAGGACTCTCTCTCTCTCTCTCTCTCTCTCTCTATCTCTCTCTCTCCTCCTCCTCTCTCTCTCTCTCTCTCCTCTCTCTCCTCTCTCTCTCTCTCTCTCTCTTCTCTCTCTCTCTCTCTCTCTCTCTCCTCTCTCTCCTCTCTCTCTTCTCTCTCTCTCTCTTCTCTCTCTCTCTCTTCCTTCCCTCTCCCTCTCTCTCTCCCCTCTCTCTCTCCTCTCTCTCTCTCTCTCTCTCTCTCTCCTCTCTCTCTCTCTCCTCTTCTCTCTCTCTCTCTCTCTCTCTCTCTCTCTCTCTCTCTCTCTCTCTCTCTCTCTCTCTCTCTCTCTCTCTCTCTCTCTCCTCTCTCTCTCTCTCTCTCTCTCTCTCTCTCTCTCTCTCTCCTCTCTCTCTCTCTCTCTCTCTCTCTCTCCTCTCTCTCTCTCTCTCTCTCTCTCTCTCTCTCTCTCTCTCTCTCTCTCTCTCTCTCTCTCTCTCTCTCTCTCTCTTCTCTCTCTCTCTCTCTCTCTCTCTCTCTCTCCTCTCTCTCTCTCTCTCTCTCTCTCTCTCTCTCTCTCTCTCTCTCTCTCTCTCTCTCTCTCTCTCTCTCTCTCTCTCTCTCTCTCTCTCTCTCTCTCTCTCTCTCTCTCTCTCTCTCTCTCTCTCTCTCTTCTCTCTCTCTCTCTCTCTCTCTCTCTCTCTCTCTCTCTCTCTCCTCTCTCTCTCTCGTCTCTCTCTCTCTCTCTCTCTCTCTCTCTCTCTCTCCTCCAACTCATTTTCTGAAACTGCACCCCCCAAGGGTGCGACGCAGATTGGCGTAGATCACTTAATGAATTCCTCAACTCTACTCGCAGTCACCTAAGAACATGAGCCCTGCGCTCCTGTTTTTTTTTGGGGGGGGCATTTCTTATTATGCTGAAAATATGCGGCTACGGAATAAACGACGATATCAATCAATTGTTAGGATAAAGATACATTAAGGCAGTGTTTGCACAGTGCACAAAGTACACCGAGAAATTATGTCCCATAAATCGCGGGTGCGATTTGTGCAACAGCTGCTATGCTGAAAAAACATGCGGGGGATCTTGCTACTCTTCTGTCGTCCTTAACAGTTCCTACAACAAAGTACACAACACCCTGTTTTATCTTGCTTAGTATTTTTTTGGCGTTTCCCGTCCGTCTCCCCGTTATTCCCGTCTTCCCGTCTTTGGGGCTTTCCACCCATCTTGTCGCCTTCCGTCTTTCTGTCTTGAGAGTTTCCCGTCTCGCCGCCTGACCTGCAACCGCGGTTCACCTGGCCGCCCCCTGCCCTGCATCCGCCGCCCCTGTCCCACAGTCCGCCCCCACCGTCTCCACGCCGTGCCAGGTGGCGCCGGCTTCACCGGCTCCGAGCCGATGTCGGCAGGCGAGGACGTGACGTCACAGCGGCGGTCCGCGGAGGCGGCGGCGCCGTCCGCCGGCCGCCACCAGTCGTCCGCCGGCCGGTGAAAGCGAGAGAGGTCGCCGCCGCCGTGCCGCGCGCTCGTCTCCGTGCGCTGCTGCTCCACTTCGGTCGACGGCGGGGCAGCGAGCCGACCGACGGGCCAGCGGGCCGCCTCGTCCAGCCAGCGCCGTGCCCCAGTGAGCTAGGCGGCTGCGCTGGCCAGCTGCAGCCAGCGGGGCAGTGAGCCCCCGCCTGGTCACGTGAGACCGCCCCGGTCTGCGCCAGGCAGCTGGTGTGACCCTCTGGCGGGCGCGCGTCTCGGTGTGACCTCTCCAGCGGGCGCGCGTCTCGGTGTCTCTCCAGTGGACGGGAGTCGGGCGGTGGGATGCGGGACGCCGCGGGCCGAGGCTGACCTGACCGGCGCCCCGGCATGGAGACCGACACAAGGCGGCGGACGGCTCCGCTGACGGCCGCCGCTGCCTGGCTGGCCGTCTGGGCCGCTCTCCTGGCTCCGCCGCCGGCTCAAGGTGAGCTCCTCCTCCCCCCCCCCCCCCCCCCGTCCCCCAGCCGGCCTGCCCGCTGGCGTGTGACAGCCTACACGGAGGCAGGAGGGATTGAATGGGACTTCATGGGAGCGTCAGCCGGCCGCCGCCGGGCGACGACGCGGCCCGCTCCAGCTCTGGTGTCGTCGCGAGGCTGCTGTGTGTAGGACTGAAGACGATTGCATGCTGACTAATGGGTAACGCGGCATTTCCCAACGATCGACGCGTTGATCACGCGCAGATCTGTGATAAGCGTGTGAAACGCGACTGCATTCAAGTAAATAGTTTTCACGTTAGTTATTTATTTTTTTAGGGCGCGTCACTTGCGTTGGCTAGCTGCGCCGCTCTCACAAGCGCGTCAAAACCTCTGAAATGATTTGGTCCAACTGACTCCAGTAATGTTTGCAAATATGACCTGTGCACGCGACTGCATTCGAACCATACCAGAAGAAGACGGGGCTGAACGACTCCCGATCGGTGGCCTTCGCTCTCGGATGGCCGAGCCGCGGCCCAACAGAGGGAGTGCGACGGTGGCACGGCACTTTGCAGCCTTTGCAGGAGCTCTGCTGCTCGCTTACAGCCATGAGCCGGATGTATGAGCCCTCTCCTGATACTGTTTATCGGGTCGCGACAGAGGCGGGAGTCGGCCGTGGCCGAGGGCGGTCCGACGTCGCGCCCGCGCCGGGGGCTTGCCATGTCGTGGGTCGCCTCTGCGTGTGGCCGGGTGTGGTCGAGGCACACAGGCGGTGGTGCTCTACCCAGTCACCCAGTTGTGACTGATAGGGATCACTGACCTCACGCGAGGACCTGTCGCCGTCCACAGGGCCGGTTTTCTCCTCCTGGCCGCAGCTTTCCAACCTGACTCGGCATATGCCTTGAGCCCTCACATCGGCGGTCTGCGTGCTGTCGCGAGCGTTCTGTGTAGAAGGCGCTGTGCCGCAATGCTCGCCTGCAGTGCGATCCCAATCTGGGATGCATGGAAACGGGCGCTCGCCTGCAACCCACCCGCCTGGGATCACCACTCCAGAACCATCCTCGATTGCAGGCATGAGCCCGTCGGGTTCGACTCGTGGCCGGCTCTGTGCGGCCGGCCTCTGCCACGTGACCTGACGCGGCTCTGACACCAGGACAGAGTTGGGTTTCTGTCGCAACAGGAAAAATGGAGCCTGGCTTGTTGCACCGCTACATTCCCGGGAGTGGACCTCTGGGATAGGGCGAAGGCCATGGTGTCGGCGTGCAAAGCCTCTCTCGTCATCTCCGTGGATTAACGGCGAACCCTGCCTGTGTCTCCGAAAGGCGAAGTGGTCAGGCGGGTGATGCGGTGGATCTCAACAGCGTGACTCGGGGCTGATCCAGTACCGCCAGCTTTGTTGTCAGGCAGTTTTTAAACGCCCTGAGACGCAATGCGAAGCCCTTTTGCGCCGAGCCCTATAGCAGACAAAAGGAGGTAGATGAAGGCCTACTTATCGCATCCCTTTCCGATTTTCGCCTCTCCGTGCCATTCTGCCACCACAAGATATGCCTGAAAAGACGTGTTAAAATGCATTGGACTGGAATTTACAATATGGAAAGCAAGTTTAATTTCTAACGTTTTGGCTTTTTGGACCTTCTCAGGGGTTATACCCCTGAGCAGGTCCAAAACTACACGTCTCAGACTGGTTACTTAAATAAGTAAAAAGGTAAACGCCTACGCACAACAACTCGAGAACGGTACCGACATCCTGTGTCAAATCGGCTTAAAGTAAGTAAAGTAAAATTCATTTTTGACGTCATAATCGCGCAATGTTGTTTCCATGAAATTTCATCAGGTAAAGCATCACGCCATTCAACAAAGCACTCGGCACTCCCAAAACGAGGTGGCCGTCTTGCCCTGCACGGTATCGGTCGCGTCAGCCGCGGCGACGCCCGGTCCCGGTGGTCCGGCGGCGGGTCGCCGCTCCGACCCGGCCGGGTCGCCCAGCGGCGCGTCGCCGCCCGACCCGCCCGGCGCCCGGCCGGCTTCGCTGCAGTCTCCGGGTGACTGCACTGCTGGCCTTGACACACTGCACCAACACCGGCGGCGGCGGCCGGGCCGCGGCGCCCGCGCGGCGGCCGGTGGCGCGCCGCCGGGCCCCGCCCCGCCCCGCCCGCTGGGTCCCGCGCCGCGCCAGGGCGGCGGTGCTCTTCTCCGAGCGAGCGCACGTCTGGGGATGACGAGGCGCCTTTATTTCTGGATGGCACGTCAAATCATTTTAAGATGCTTGTTCTACACTGGTTTGGTACACAGGGTATTGAACGCTCGGGCTATGTAGTCGCTTGGAATTCTGCACCGGCAGCGCGTGCCGCTAGTTATCCTGGACTCGGATCCGACGGGGTGATATCAGCCAGAATAATAAACCAAGCACGCCTCCGGGCGATGACTTGTGCTACGAATGATGACTTTGCTCACCGTGGACCTAACAATATACCATAGTTGGTTTACCGTAGCACAAGGCAGTTCATTACGTGTTATGTTCGCGTGGTTGCACGGCGCAGCGGCGAAAAGTTAACGGGAAATATTTCTATTATCCATTTACTGTAGATGTGGCTTGCTGCTGGCATGTCAGCAAAATGCCCAAGCACGTGTGTTGTAATGTACCGTTGCAGCTACTGACCTCAGCATTGTCAACTACAAATGCCAGAAATATCAGGACAGCAGTGTTTTCCTCACGTCAGTTAACGACATTGGTAATTGCCAGAGCCAGGTAGAGTTAAACGGGCCGACTTTTGGCTGAACAACTCCAGTGCAGGTTAAGTCTCGTTTTCATATGTAGCAATCTGAGCCTGTTAAAACGGTTCAAATTAAACTAACAGCGACTTCACGAGAATTTAGACAGCTAAATTGTAGCATACTGTTGCCTTGTGCACTAATTTTAATCTGAACATCAAGCCACGACCTAGTTCATAATTAGGCTGACCTGCTGGCGTCAACACTTAGACCCGGTTCCTTGGACAAGTAATTACAGACGACCTAGTTCGTCTGGTTTTTGGTGAGCAATCGGTCTTCGCTCTCGTTGCTCTGCGCGCCACTTAACTGCCTGCGTCTGTGTGCTGAGCATCCCGTCACATCGCAAGAAACATCACATCTCTGGGTGACATTGCATCCCGAGTAGCATCACATTTTTTAATAACATCGCACCTCGAGTAACATCACATCTCTGAGTGACATCGCACCTCGAGTAACATCGCATCTCTGAGTGACATCGCACCCCGAGTAACATCACATTTCTGAGTGACACCGCATCTCGAGTAACATCAAATATCTCGAGTGACATCGCACTTACAGTAACATCACGTACCTTGAGTAACACCGCATTTGGAGTAACATCACATATCTCATCACATATCTCGCATAGCGTCACATATTTCGAGTAACATAACATCTGCTGAGTAGCATCACACATTTCAAGTAAAATCACACATGACGAGTGACACCACATATCTTAAGTGGCATCGCACCTGGAGTAGCATCACATATCATGAGTGACATCTCACCTAAAAAACACCACATCTCTGACGTCACAGCTCGAGCTCTGAGCACCCACGTCACCTCGCAATGCAACTCAGCCCCACAACGTTGTGAAGGCCCCTCATACTGTGAAGTGCGGTCCGGAGCCACGTGATGACCGGCCCCTTGTTGTTGACACACAAACCGGGGCCATTGTCGTGCTTGCCACGTGACTCACAGACCCAGGTTATGTAGCGTACATCACGGGTCATTTAACAGTCATTTGCGCTCCGGGCCACGTGACACACAAGCCCGGCGTACGTGACAGACAAGCTCCGCGCGGGTTGCATGCCAGCTCGGGTCTCGCGACATGACGTTCGTGCCTCTCATTGTGCGTCCACCCCAGCTCATGCGGCACACTTACTCTGGTCACGCGACTTAGATCCCGGTCATGTCACCGACTCACCTCGTTTATATCCCCGACTCCCGGGGTGTGCGGCTGGCCTCGCCTGACTGACCTGAGCTGACCTGTTTGGATGACATGAGCGGTAGTCCGCTCTAGACCACGTGCCGTGGCTGGTGGGTTTAGATGTCATGATGTAGAGGTTCGTACGTACCCTCTACGGTCACATACAGGCTTAGAACGCGTGATGAGAGGCACAGGTACACACACAAACACACACACACACACACACACACACACACACACACACCACACACACACACACACACACACACACACACACACACACACACACACACACACACACACACCACACACACACACACACCACACACACACACACACACCACACACACACACACACACACACACACACACACACACACACACACACACACACACACACACACACACACACACACACACACACACACAACACACACACACACACACACACACACACACACACACCACACACACACAACACACACACACACACACACACACACACACACACACACACACACACACACACACACACACACACACACACACACACACACACACACACACACACACACACACACACACACACACACACACACACACACACACACACACACACACACACACACCACACACACACACACACACACACACACACACACACACACACACACACACACACACACACACACACACACACACACACACACACACACACACACACACACACACACACACACACACACACACACACACACACACACACACACACACAGGTCATAAAGCGTGTCGTGCTGACCCATATCACGTGACGTGCATGCAAGGTCAGGTCCTTCCACGTGGCGTGCATGCTCAGCACACGTGACGTGAGGCACAGACACGGGTCACATGACGTGGCGTGCTGACCCAGAGCACGTGACGTGCGTGCGGGATCAGGACCTTCCACGAGGCGTGCGGCTCAGCACACGTGACGTCACGCGCGGGTGCGGGCACCTCCGGTCTGAGGCCGTGTGTGTGCCGCTGTCCGCAGGCCTGTGCCCGCCGCCGGAGGTACGGCTCAACAGCCACGCCAGACTCAGCTCGGACCAGCTCTCCGAGAACACCACGGCCAAGTACAGCTGTGATCCCGGCTTCATGCGGCTCGGGTGAGTGCCACTACGGTGCCAAAACAGTATCACTACGGTGCCACTATTACTGAGTACCACGGCTACTACTGGCCTGTCTGCGGCCGCATGGGCAGAGGATGGGTCATGACGAGGTGGTGTTGGCGCGAGACGAGTCGGAGCGGCCCCGGTGAAATTTTGGGAGCTATGTTGGTTGGTTGGGGACCCCTTGTTAAAACCGGGACAAATATTTGCACCTGGCTCCAGATGCGGGTTATGTCTCATGTATCCGGTGCCAAATGTCACATGCCACATGGTGGTTTTCATCTGGGCGTGGTGATCCATTGCCTCAATGGCTGTGGTAGCGCTGGGCGAAAGCAAAACGGGAGGCACAGTAACACCCCCCCCCCCGCCCCCTTCCACCCCACCCCATCCCTACTCTCCTCCGCCGACCAGACACAATTGCATCGTGGCCAAATTCAGAGTTATCGTGCTTCATAGCACATATTTCTTTATTCTTGACACGATATAACTGTGAAGTCAGTACAATTTATGATAGGGGAGCTCTAGTTGGTTTACCAGTATCAGTGTCCGTAATCAGTATGTTGGAAACAATCCACATGGTGGCTATTACAGTTTCAGGACATACAATTGCGGTATGAGAAGGCACACACAAAAGATATGCAATAAACTGATACGAATACTGGTCAAAGAACTACAACGGACTTATCAGTGCACTATGGGCCAAATCAGATCAGTCGTCGGTGGTAAAAATCTCATCGCGTATAGCGGTCTTGGTGTTGTGGGTCAACACGCGCTTAGTGTTGTGGCAGGCGGTTCCAGGCAGCTGCAGCTCGATACGAAAACGCCCTCTGTGTGGCGGTTAGTCTGTGTCTGCGCAGGTGCAGACCACCTCTGTCCGAGGCGCGCGCTTTACGGATCGAAACAGCGGCGCGTGAGACAAAAGCGCGCGGACCTCGCGAGGCGCGCCTGCCTATTCCAGAGCCCTAAACATTTTAATCACGTCGCGGTGCGCCACCATGACTTCAATTCTCGACCACTCAAGGGCATTTAGAGCTACAGTTACATGTTGGTACTTTCTGGAGCCGGTGATTACTCTGGCAGCAAAGTTGATTTTTTTTTAAATTTGTGCAGTTGACTCTTGTCCCCCCCCCCCCCCCATCCCTCACGCGCAGGCAGTACGCGATATGAGGAAACACGTACGCCCGGATGATGATTTTGAGACAGAGCAACGAAGAAGCCATTGCATGTTTTCATGACGCTCGAGACATGGGCACCCCATGATAGACCGGAGCCAACTATGATGCCGTGAGCTTGATGCTACTTGAGGCACGCAAAATTGAACCGTTTACTTTTCAGTGGAAGTCAGCTGACTTTTTCCAGTTTTGTTTTGACCCAGCGAGCATAAAGGCTTTTTGTTTCGTTTATTTGGGGAAACGTGGCACTGAACCAGTTCTGAAGCTCACGTGTGGTAAGCTCCAGTCTGGTTTTGAGGTCGACTAGACCCGGTCCGTCTGGGAGGGGGGGGGGGGGGCAGTCCACGTGCATGGTGTCGTCAGCGCAGGAGATAAGGCGGCCATGAGTCAAGTATCTACATAGATCGTTAGCAAACAAAATGAACAAATTTGACCCGATGATGGAGCCCTGAGATACACCTCGTGACATGGGGAGAGTGAACCGTCCTCCACGCAGCACGTGCCCTCGATCACTCAAATAGCTCCTAAACCTTTCCACATCGGTAATGCCATTCCGAGACCGTTTGGGGCGAGAACCGCGTTGTGGTCGACGCCATCGAACGCCTTTGACAAATCAATCGTCGTTACCGACGATTCAAGACCGTCGTCGGTGTTGGTGACCGGGCATTCGACTGCGGAGAGCACGGCATCCTCGGTTGAGTGCCAGGGGTGGCAGGGGTAAGTTGGGGCAAGAAAGATATTTTGATTATTTCCCAGCAGATGTCACTCAGATCGCTTCGGTGCATGCCCGAATACATCGTTTACTAGCACGTCGAACCTCGTCGCGCTTCGTGGTGAGTGTCATTTTTTATCGATGGAAGTGTATTTTTGGGTACCTTAAATGATTTTCTCCCGTCGCAAACATTTGTTCATATCTTTGTGCATAACCAGAGCATTCTGAAATCCTTTAGTGCGGTTAAACTGTAAATATTTATGCCTCAATCAGCCTCGCACTGTTTTTCCACGGATCATCCGACATGTGCCACGGGACTTCCGCGCATCATCCGACATGTGTCACGGGACTTCTGCGGATCATCCGACATGTGCCACGGGACTTCCGCGGATCATCCGACATGTGCCACGGGACTTCCGCGGATCATCCGACATGTGCCACGGGACTTCCGCGGATCATCCGACATGTGCCACGGGACTTCCGCGGATCATCCGACATGTGCCACGGGACTTCTGCGGACCATCCGACATGTGTCATGGGACTTCCGCGGATCATCCGACATGTGCCACGGGACTTCTGCGGATCATCCGACATGTGCCACGGGACTTCCGCGGATCATCCGACATGTGCCACGGGACTTCCGCGGAACATCCGACATGTGCCACGGGACTTCCGCGGAACATCCGACATGTGCCACGGGACTTCCGCGGATCATCCGACATGTGCCACGTGACTTCAATGGATCATCCGACATGTGCCAGGGGACCTCTGAGTGGAGACCGCCGCCCGGGGTTCGTCGGGGCGGATGAGCCTGGGGTGGGTTGGGTCGCGGCCTAATTTACCTCGGTCGCCTTCGACGATGGCCCAACTCCCTCATGGGATTGAGCCAATGAAAATGCGTCGTCAGTCATATTCATGGCCGTCGTATGGGGTAAGTATCACATTAAACCATCATTCAAAAAAAAATATATGTTGGGTGCAAGTGTGGAGGTGTGCTTACTTTACACACACCCAGTCCTTTACTTTACATCCCGTCCATCCCAAATTACTCTCATGAGATTCCTTAGCGCTGCGGTGAAGACATTCCTGTCTCTCTTCGGCCTCGTACACAGTTTTGCAAAAGCGATTATGGCACACTGACGCATCTACAGAATGAGGACATGCAAGAGAAAGAGCAACAGGGGTTTAACCCCTGCCGGCGCCATGCGACGTGCTAAAGCTGAGGTCGTCGTGCACAACAGAAGTGTCCGGTCTGTAGGAGAAGAATGTGTGATTCATCGGAATACTCTTACTCTGTATATGAAACGGGCCAGAAGAGATGGCATTGGGCGATCCATTGGAAATGCTAAGCCTCTCGTTTTTTAATGATAAACAGGATGTGCAGCTGGGAACGGACGTCAAAGAGGCAACTGCTTTGTACTTCGGACTCACAGCTGAGGGCATGCGTTTACTAGTATGCAGATATGCAAAGGCGTGTGCAACCTAAAGATGCCCACATCAATGGAAGAGAGACCGGCGTGCAGGCCCCGACTGGCTCGGCGCTTTTCTGAAACGTTATCCCACTCTCTCAATCCGTACACCAGAGGCTGCAAGCTTGGCGCCAGCCACGCGCTTCAGCATGCATACATCGACACACTTGTCCAGAAGGTGGCGCCTGTGACGGAAAGGCATAACTTCACTCACAGTTGCATTTGGAACGTCGACGGGACGGACCTGACGACGGCCCAGAAGCCGAGCAGCGTGATCGCTGAAAGAGGCCGCAAACAGATGGGAGCGATGACTTCGGCTGAGCGTGGCACGCTGGTCACATCTGTGGGACAATCTCCGCTGTTGGCAAGACGATCCCACCCATGTTCGTAACCCCCACAAGACGATTCCCTCCCATGTTCGTAACCCCCACAAGACGATCCCTCCCATGTTCGTAACCCCCACAAGACGATCCCTCCCATGTTCGTAACCCCCACAAGACGATCCCTCCCATGTTCGTAACCCCCACAAGACGATCCCTCCCATGTTCGTAACCCCCACAAGACGATTCCTCCCATGTTCGTAACCCCCGCAAGACGATTCCCTCCCATGTTCGTAACCCCCACAAGACGATCCCTCCCATGTTCGTAATCCCCCACAAGACGATCCCATCCCATGTTCGTAACCCCCACAAGACGATTCCTCCCATGTTCGTAACCCCCACAAGACGATTCCTCCCATGTTCGTAACCCCCACAAGACGATCCCTCCCATGTTCGTAATCCCCCACAAGACGATTCCTCCCATGTTCGTATTCTCCCATGAGACGTTCAAGTACAGCGTCCTCAGAGATGGACCACCGGGCAGTGCCGGGACAGCAAACCCATCCGGCTGGATGACGGGCAAGGACTTCAGCAGCTCCATGAGCCACTTCATATGCGAAGCGAAGCGTCGCTGGACGATCCAGTGCTGCTACTTTTGGACAGCCACAGCCCTCACCTGGACTTAGACGTCCTCAACATGGCCAAGGAAAATGGAGAGGTGATGCTTTCCTTTTCACCGCACTGCAGCTACAAGCTCCAACCGCTTGACAAGGCAGTCTATGATCCGTTCAAACGGATGTTGGCCGCGCAGTAAGATGCATGGATGCGGTCCAACGCAGGCAAGACTGTGAGGATACATGACCTGCCAAGGATCGTGGGGATGTGTGGCCCCGGGTAGCATCACTGCTGAACGTCATGGGCGGATTCAAGTGTTGTGGGATATTCCCGTGCTATCTCGACATCTTCACTGAGGATGACGTCGCGCCATCCCAGCTCGCAGATAGACCGGTAAACGGAGAAAACCCAGGGACGGTGCCGGCTGCGGGACCCGCCGGCGCATCTGGTGGCACCGCCTCCAGTGGCTGTGGCCCCGTCTGCCGCGCACGCGGGGAGTACCCTCCGGACCACGCCGATCCGTCTGGTGAAGGGGAAGCGCTGGACCAACCCGAATCGTCGCGCTAAGAGGACCCCTGGACTGGCCTGGCCCGTCAGGCGAAGGGGAACTCCTAGACCGCCTCGAGCCATCGGGCCGAGCGGAACCTCTCGTCCGCCATGGGCCGTCTGCCGAAGATGGACCTCTGAATAGCCTTGGTCCACCGTGAGAAGAGAACACTTCCATCACCCTACCTCCTCAGGAAGCGGTAGAAGCTTTTCACCAGCACACGTCTAAGCTCACCAAAAGTAAACCACGCAGGAAAATGAAACGCTCGTCGACGAAAAGCAGCGGCACCGACTGATACACCTGAGAATGCGCCGCTAGAGGAGCAGAACAGAAAGAAGAAAAACGGCAACAAAAACGAGAGAAAACAAAACCACAGAAAAAAGTGCATGCAAGATGAAAACTAAGACGAGAAAGGGCAAAAAACGAGAACAGACAAAAAGAAAGCTCTTCCGACCGGTAGAAGAATCCGAGTCAGATACGGATGAGAAGTTCTGCATGATATGATGTGGTTCATTCAGTAACAGTCGGTTTGGGGAGCGCTGCGTGCGGTGTTATCCGCGTGAGCGATGGGCACACGTGTTACGCACTGGAGGCGAGAAAGTGTTCATTTGGCAAAACGGTGCCACTGCCAGCGATTAAACAGAATATGTGTCTCACGAAGGGAGGAAATTGTACAAGCCTTGCGTCTGGCAGATGACAACGTCTGGTAACCATTAACAGCGATATAACTGTCTGTGCCGCTGGGAGTAGCTTTCTATTCCCGATTTTGGCAGACAGTCTAAGCTGCAAAAGCCTATATTTTGTCTCGTTCGTTCGTTGAGTAAGGTCGATATGAGTCTGCATACGCGGCATTCAAAGAGACGACGATTTTGCTGCATGAGGCAGCCATTGTTGCACGCCTTTTAAGAAATGATTGTGATAGTTGCACAATTATCTCGACGAGGGTAAAGGAATGAATATGCGTGTTTTTATCTTGATTTTATGTAGTGAACCTACTGGCCCCACCAACCGACCGCATTGACTCCGTCACGGAGTGAATTGGGACATTTGAGATTCGCTTCTTTGCTCGAGTGTATCACTCACAAGAAGCAAACACTCCAAGTAAATTAAGTGCGTTTTTATACGCAAGGGCAAGGCTGTCTAGCGACACAAATCACGCATCAATATCTTTAACTATACTTGAGCTTTGCTGCTTAAGATAAAAAAATCATGCGCAACCAACGCCGGTCTCGCCTTTAGCGTTGGACCAGTTATGTTCCTGATCACGTGCAAATTTGCCGGGAAGTCTTCCGCTTGAAGTGGCCCGCACGGGCACACCATGGCGCCGCGACATGCTCCGACTGACCGACCGGCATTCGTTCCGAGCTTTCCCTCCAGCCGCTGCGCGCCGCGCTCCAGTTTGCGCCGGCGCCGCCCGCAGCGGCGCGCCGGGAGTGCCCCCGTCGCGCCGTCCCCGCCCGGCAGACAACGGTCCATTGTGTCGGCGGCCGTGGCGTGCCGGTCCTGACGGACCGGCGGCCGTGGCGTGCCGGTCCTGACGGCTGGCGGCCGCGGCGGGCGCGCCCCGCCCGCCGGGCACCAGCGCTTCCCGAACCGGCGCTGCCGCGGCGCGCGCGCTCCCCTTGCGGTCAGCACGGAACGGTCCTGTGTGCATGCACGTGGAGCTGGCGTCAGGGCGGGGGTCGAGTGAAAAGGGTGGGTTTTGGCGTTGGATTCGTTTGACTGCTTCGTAGACGCAGCCTCTCCATGTGTCTAACGCGTCGCGCTCTCGTCTCATCGATTTAAATTGGTTTGGTTGTTACTGAAAGTCTGCTTTTTCTTACTGGATGCATCGTAATGGAGCTGTAGCAAACTCAGGTGACTTCTTCAACAGTTATAGCCTTTCAGTATGTCTTTATGCTATCTGATAAATGTGCAGACAGAAATACTTTGCTTTTCGCGTCGCCTTAGGAGAGCTGTGGCCTATCTTTTTCGTGGCATCGCAATGTCAGGGAAGAAAAGCACAGAGCAATTTGATTTTTTCTGAATAAACTTTGCACACTTGTGGTTCGTGTGTTAGCTTCTTCCCGGTCCTCAAGGTACCGTAAAATTCACGGGCACTAAGCCGCAATGGGCTTAGCCATTAATAATAGCTTGCATCCGTTCCCTTGATAGGTCTGTCAGTGTACATTTAACAGCTGCACCAAGTATCTACCTGCCTACAGCAGTGTCTTGGCAGGATGACGTTGTAAGCACGGTACCCGTCAGCTCCCTTCACCTGCCATCTATGGTCGACAGGGAGAAGACTCGCCTGTGCAGCTCCGATGACACCTGGACCGGTCAGCCGCCGTCCTGCGGTGAGTCATGACTCGCAGCACCGGTCCCGCCCCCTCCCCCGGGGGAGGGAGTCGGCCTTGGGGCCACGCGAGCGGCGGCTGGCACCTGGCTCAGCCGCGACCGGCGACGGAGGCTGGTACCATTACAAAGGCTAATCTGGGTTTGCCCCGACGACTTGGGCGGTGATCAGGTGTGTGTTGGTCCAAAACGCCAAGTCCGAGTCGAAGAGCGGCTGCTGATGTTTTGAGTCTGAATACGGGCGCAGTCAGGGCTTTATTAATGGGGAAGGGGGGGGGGGTGAGCTCAGTAAGAACGCACTCGCTGATTTTTACTTTCTTTTTGGAGCCATCTATGATTGCGGGTCTAAGTAGGGGACCCCCTCCCCCCCTCTCCGCCTTGGCTGCGCCAATGAGTCAGATTTAGAGTCTCGAGTCGATCCTTGACACTCCACATGAGTCGAAGTCCCAACCAAAGTCCAAACATTCTCACAGCGCTTCGCTCCTTGTTGGGCAATGAGCCTGAGTTCGAGCTTGACTGTGAATCGGAATCTTAACGCCTTCATTCCAAGTTCACTGGTTTCTTACCGGATCGCACAGAATGAAGAAATGTGTGATTTAGTCAGGAAAAGAGACCGTCAAAAATGAAAATCGTACGAGGTTTTAAACCTCACCAAGTCTCACCCAATCCTAACCTTATGTCCCGACCCGGCGTTGTGTCAAGTCATCACTAGAACAGTTATCATCTTGTAGGAGTGTGCTGATAATGTCATATGATAGTGACCTGTTCATCCGTCAGGATGGCAACCGATGCTTAGTGTATATGTTGTCATGATATAGGGATACCAAATGAAAACACCCAAAACGAGTCTAACTCACCGAATCCAACGCAACCAAATGAGCATAGCAATACCTGCATCTATGCTTCGCGCCAAAATGGCTATCTCACCCCATACGTTTTGTAATAAAGATATGCCATTTAACCGTCGATTTAACTTAAATGGGAATCTAAGTTTGCAGAATCAGCATCCGAGTCCCTGTCACATTTACTTTACGCTCTGTCTGAGCCCTCGTCCGAGCGCACAGTTTTGGTACAGTTGAGCTCGCGTACGAGCTCGGTTTTCTTTAAAAACGAATCATTCCCTTGGGTCCTCGTTCCAGAGCATCACGCCCAGGCGCGTGACGGCTCGAGTCCGGCCCGACTCCGATGAATGCTCGGTGGTGACATGTTCGCGGCACGATCGGAAACTGCCTCGGGCGATTGTATAGACTAGCATTTTGGAACACCTTCTGGGAGTGTGTTTTTCAGATGAGCATACCGCCAGTGCACAACGTAGCATGAGTTAAATAATGATTTGCTTCAACAGCGCTATGGTGGATCGCCTTGCTAAGCATACGCTGTTGGCCATCGCTGGTCTGTTCCGTAATCTGGCGGCATGTGCATGTGTTGGAGAGATTTATGATTCATGAACGTTTCGCGTTGCTAAATCCGAAGGGAGCCGTTCATGGCCATGCGTCTTAGCCTCAATCAGTTCTGTCACATTAACCGATACGGTTTGCGTTCCGTTGGTTACGGTGATCCGGGACAGCTTCGTCACCTGCGCCAACGTGGGGTCGGAACCGGAACCAGTCTGGAGCTATTTCTGTTGCTGGCAGTAACCATGGATCAGCCCTGCCGCCCGGACTGTTTTAGGATTGGCCTCGTTTCTCGCTGTTGACTGATACAGGTGCTCGTATTGTTTCGATAGGTTGATTAGCGGTGTCATGTCCGTACGTGCGGACCAAGTTACCAGCCCCATAACGTGAGCGTGCTGCCCTGGGAGTGGCGCGCTCCCTCGGCGTGGTGGGTCAGTGGTACAGTGGGTACCGGCATCAACAATTCACCGATTTCATCAATTCACAATTTCATCAATTTCATCAATTCACAATTTCATCAATTTCGTCAATTCACATTAATTCACACCAACCGATCAACAATTCACAATTCATCAGCACCGGCCTCAGTTCGGTGAACTGCAGCTATGCATTCGCCAGTTCAGCGGAAGTTCGCGGCGAGCCCCCGTGCAGTTCACTGTGGACGAAAGCCCGTCTGTTCGTGTCGGTCGGGATCAAACACGCCATCCAGCTGTTTTTCCTGGAGAAGCCCGACACGTATCGCCTGATCTTGATTGCGGTATGAAGGTGAGAGTTCCAGGCCCGTTATTGTGTGACGAGCATACAGGGGTGTACGCAGGATTACAGGATGGACGGGGAACACAGCTCAAGGTTTTCATGAACAGCGAGTTTATCGTGCCGCAGGTGTGGACGATTTCTGACGTGTCGCAAGACAACACCGCTTGCTCCAATTTTCTTATTATTATGTGTCTACCTGTAGCTTTCAGCTGTCATCATTTAATCACGTGCATATCCATGTATGTCATACATTTAGTAGCGGGTTTACGTGCCTCCGAAGCTTCTTTGAGGGCATGCCCCTGCAAATATGCATGCACTCGTCGCTATCCCTCAGCTTTTGTTTGTGTTGAACAAAACATCGCGGGCGCAATGCAGAACATGTCATGGGTGTTTCCAGAAACCGGATTGACCTCACATTGACGTGACTTCTTGAGCAAAATACGAAATATTATGGACCATAAAATGTGTCGTTCTCAAACAACAATGTAATGGCCTCGGAATATGGCAGCTGGCCCCCTCCCATTCTATCTGGATACGCCCCTGTGTCTGGCCTTCGGCTGCAGGCCTACTAACTAACAGGCCACGCGACACACGAATGCCATTGTCATCAACTACTAATTGTGCTTTAAAACTTCAACAGCCAAGTCTGTGGGTTTAAAGATTTGACGACGCCTGACGCTTAATTCAACGATGCTGGCCAATATTTACGGCATTGGTCGACGTAGCCAATTCTGAACACGAACTGGCTGGCAGACTGAAGCTGACCATTCGTGGCAGTCAACTCATTTTCCATGCTGGTCCATTGGTTCGCGACCATCCGTCGTGCCCACTTTAAACACCCGATGTCCAAAACATCCATATGTGCTGGACGACTTTTAAGTTGAAGGTGTGCTGTGAACTGTTGTCAGCACCGTTGGACGTGTCGCCTCTCCCACTTGCGGACTTGGCGCAGAGGTTCGGCAAGCCGTCCACCGCCCTGCTCTTCTGTTTGCCCCCAGCGGCACATACCGGGCAGAACAAACCGTCTTTCCAACCCTCTTCAGCCTCCTCCCAGTGGCAACTGTGGCACAAAGCAAGCCGCCTTCCCCTTTCTCAAGGTGTGTGACCCCACTCTCCGCCGCCTGTCCCCAGTGACGAACGTGGCGCAGGGCAAGCCGTCCAGCCAGTCGTCGACGGCGCGCGGCGGTCCCGGCCTCCAACGGCAACGACGGGGACCGGACGTCGCTGCACGACGGCGGCAAGTGCACCGAGACGCTGAACGAGACGTCGCCGTGGTGGCGGGTCGACCTGCTGGACACCTACCCGGTCCAGCTGATCCGGGTCGTCACGCGCGGCTGCTGCGGTGGGTCCCTCCGTCTGCTGGTGCTCGTCACCTGCGTGCGTCGAGATCCCCTCTTTGTCTTGGTCTTACAGCAGGTTGAGCTCAGTGTCCCCGTGTCTCAGCCGTTTGGTTAGGCTGCTGGAGATCTGTCACCAGTCTGTGTCGTCTCTTCTGCGGTCGGTCTTGTCTCTTCCCGCCGTCTAGTGAGGCTGTGGTCAGCCATTCTATCTGGGTGATCCACTCCGTGATCAGCCCACCCTCTCCTTCCCTCCACACCGCCTAGTCTGACGGCGTTCAGTCTCTCTCCGTCCCGCTGCTCCGCCGTCTGCGGCTCGGCCGCGGTCAGCCGGGCGCGGCCGGCGGCAGCAGCTCGCCGTCCATAATGAGTCGCAGCACGCCGTGTCACGCGATGACCTTGCACGCAGCGGGCTTCTTGTGCAGGCTGTGTGTGCGGGAACTGGCTTTTTAGGACGAAATCGAAAACGCAAACGCTTAAGATTGCGTTTGTGAGCTTACGGACCGAGACAGGGCGCATTTTGCGTCAGCTTTTGAAGCCTCAGTCAGTCAGGGCTAGGATGTGTCGGTAAAGTTTACTGTTATTTCTGTGCTAGTTCTGGCATGTACGCCCCCATGGTGTCATAAATGTCAGGTATGTGCGTGAACGCGTAGTTTCTTTTTATCGGCTATAGGGCGCGTCAGCTACATTGATGATTTGCGACTTTCGTCCTATGAAACTCGCAGACAAGTTAAAGGGAGTATGCCACCTGTTTTGTAATATTTCACTCACAGAGCGGACGCGTCGGTAAGACGTTACAGTTAGAGCGGCCGTCGATTTGACCGGAAATACCAGTTTTGTGGGTTCCTGCTGAGCTCAGAATCTCGATTTGAAGTAGCCGCTTTTATGGGCAAAATATCATTAGCCTCCCTGCTCACCACTACAAAGTAATACTCTTAATTTGTGTTGGTTTTCCCAACAACGATATGTTATGCAGGTAATGGTCGTAATACACTCATCGACCGAAATGTTTGGACGATAGCTGGCAAGATAGCTCGAAACACTTCACTTATGGAAAAGTTGTCGAATATGAGAACATCGTCACACGAACTCAACGAAGCGTCATAAGTGGCACTCTTCGAAGGGTACTTAAGCTTTGGGAAACATTGCTTAGCTGCATGCTGAGCTGGTTGCAAGGCTGCGTTTACAAAGTAGGCGTGTACCAGCGACATATCACGTGGTCTAGTGACGTACATTTTCAAACCTTCCACCACCGCACCTGTCACTAAATGACTAACGCCGTCCGAGGCGTGAGGGCGCACTTACAGTGAGTCCGTGCGTGCCTCAGTGACCGGGCGCGCACTGGCAGTGAGTCCGTGCGTGCCTCGGTGACCGGGCGCGCGCGCTGGCAGTGAGTCTGTGCGTGCGTCGGTGACCGGGCGCGCGCACTGGCAGTGAGTCCGTGCGTGCGTCGGTGACCGGGCGCGCGCGCTGGCAGTGACTCCGTGCGTGCGTCGGTGACCGGGCGCACACTGGCAGTGAGTTCGTGCGTGCCTCGGTGACCGGGCGCGCGCGCTGGCAGTGAGTCTGTGCGTGCGTCGGTGACGGGGCGCGTGCGCTGCCGTCCCCAGGTCAGCAGGCGCTCCAGGGCGTCGAGATCAGAGTCGGCGACAGCGAGACACTGCAGGATAACCGGCTCTGCGCCTGGTTCCCGGGAGCACTGCCCGAGGGCCAGGAGAAGGACTTCGAGTGCGCGCGCCCGCTCACCGGCCGCTACGTCTACGTCCAGATGGTGGGCGTGGTGGGCGTGCTCTCTGTCTGCGAGGTGCAGGTGTTCACCGCCCAAGGTCAGCACGCCCGGCCGCTCGGCCGGCCAGGAGGCCGCCGTCCTTGCCGCCGTCTGTTCCGTTGACGCCGCTCTAGAATGCGGATGCATGGGGCGGGACGGGCTGCTTCGCGCTTCGTGACGGCGACGGCTGCGGGAGTCACACGGTGTGACCGATGGCAGGGGGCGGAGCTGACCTTCACACAGGTGTCTGGACAGCTCCCAGCTTCTGAGAGGTGTCCCTCACTTCACGTCAGCTAATTACGGACGGCGGGCCAATTGACCATTTGATTCCGGCGGTTCCCACGTCGGCATTACGGCAGTCTGTTTGCCAGAGGCGCAAGGAGGGACGAGAAGAAAAAAAAGTGTACATAGCTCAAGGTTAAAGACATTTTCCCTCAATGACATGCGTGGCAGTCCGTCTTTTTGCAGTGTCGACTGTTGCCGCGCTCTCCACCAAACCCTCGGTCCGGTGTCGGTCCGTCCTTTCGCAGTGTCGACTGTTGCCCCGTTCTCCGCCAAACCCTCGGTCCGGTGTCGGTCCGTCCTTTCGCAGTGTCGAATGCCGCCCCGTTCTCCGCCAAACCTTCGGTCCGGTGTCGGTCCGTCCTTTCACAGTGTCGACTGCTGCCCGCTGCCCACCAAACACTCTGTCCGGTGTCGGTCCGTCCTTTCGCAGTGTCGACTGCCGCCCCGTTCTCCGCCAAACCCTCGGTCCGGTGTCGGTCCGTCCTTTCACAGTGTCGACTGCTGCCCGCTCCCCACCAAACACTCGGTCCGGTGTCGGTCCGTCCATTCTCCAGAGCGCATCTAGAGAGCGCCTCTAGTCTTGTCGCGATGCCTCTTGTCAAACATCGGTGCTCGTAGCCAGTCCTGTCTTACCAAGTCCTGCCCGGTGTTGACTACCAGCTGAGCTCCCAGATGTCCCACCGCTCTGTCTCAGGCCGCAGTCTTGTCCACCACTTTCTCCCCAGACTCCAGTCCTGTCCCACCACTCTGACCTCCCGGCTCCGATTTTTTCCACCACTCTGATCCCCAGCTCAGGTCCTGCCCCACCAATCTGACTCCCGCTCCAGTCCTGTCCCACCAATCTGACTCCCGGCTCCGGTCCTGTCCCACCTCTCTGAATCCCTGGCCCCGGTCCTGTCCCACCTCTCTGAATCCCTGGCTCCGGTCCTGTCCACACCAATCTGACCCCCGCTCCGGTCCTGTCCCACCAATCTGACCCCCGCCCCGGTCCAGTCCCACCAATCTGACCCCCGCCCCGGTCTAGTCCCACCAATCTAACTCCCGCCCCGGTCCAGTCCCACCAATCTGACTCCCGCCCCGGTCCAGTCCCGCCAATCTGACCTCCGCGCCGGTCTAGTCCCACCAATCTGACTCCCGCCCCGGTCCAGTCCCACCAATCTGACTCCCGCTCCGGTCCTTTCCCACCAATCTGACCCCCGCTCCGGTCCTGTCCCACCATTCTGACCTCCCGCTCCGGTCCTGTCCCACCATCCTGACCATCCGGTTCCGGTCCTGTCTAGCCACTATGACCCACCGGCTCCCATTCTGTGGGCCAATCGGTTTCCTGTTGTTTCACTCCAGACTCCGTCCCCAGGCTCCAGTTCCGCACCCCAACCGGGTTACCAACACCAGAAGCTTAGAGTCGGCACGCACATGGATTAGGTAAACGCCGCAAACCGCAAACTAAGGAAACACATGGCCACTGGGCCTCCCTCCCACCATGCTCAAACGTCTGCAGAATGCTCCCACGTCGGCATCGCCGGAGCCTGTTTGTCAGAGGCACACAAAGGGACGCAAAGAAAAGAATGTGCACCCGATGTCTTGGAAGCAGTTCCGAGCAGTGATAAGCCCCCCCGGTGTACGCTGACCGAGATTTACGTTCTTGAAGTATTCAACGAAAGTCATAAGACATGCTGAAACAAAATTGCTGGACGTCTACAGAAGTCTGGCAGCACGCGATGCGCCGGCGTGGGCTGGACGCGAAAATTTCTGGGCCATGGAAGGGATTTAGTTGGTTTCTTTGCATTTCCAAGGTGCGCAACCTTTTCCGTTCCGTCTGTTCTGTTTTGTGGATTGTGAGACCAGAGTTCTTACGCTAACAGTTGTCGACCTTGAATATAACTTGTTGCGTGACGCCATAAGCAAACGTGGCTTTCTTGTTGAATGCTCAGCTATTGATTTGTTACGACCTACTGCTTCCTTTTTTGCATCATTTTAGCGGCAGTGTTGGTACTTATTCGGACCAGTTCTAGTCTCACGTGCGCTGATTTGCTTATGCATGTTTTGCTTAGTCTTATCCACTCATGACTGTGAGCACGACTTGAAACTGTAAGTTCTGACAATAAAACCGATGCTTGCTCTAAAACATCGCTTACTCAGCACCTGACGTATGGAGGGCTGCTATCAGTCAGAATAAAAACTCTGATTCCATAACGCAGAAAATCCAGGAGCTTCAGACCATGTTTTCTTATATCAGGTTTGCGCGCTACGATTGTCTACAGGAGCACACAAGTCTGAATATGGATGAAGGTAGCTTGCTGGCGACCTATGCAGCAGTATCTGGTTGCCCTCTCACATTTCGTGCAGTCAAACTCGTTAAGTAGTCTCAAAAAATTGGAGGTTTTCTTCTGATTCGGTTCCAAATAACATGAAAGAATCAGCAGCGTTATGTTCTGGTCACATTTAATTGCTAAACTCAGGGAAAACACATGTGTTATTAACGTTTCAGTTGTAAATATTTTCTCCCCGTTTAAAACCTTTAGGTTCGAATTCGGAGGCTGAGGCGTCCAAGGCGTCTAAAGGCTTAAAAATTGCAAATATTTAAGACGCCTAGTCCCGTAGACGCAA